AAATCCTCCAGGTATCCTAACGCGACGACAAATATTCAAATATTTGCTTTTGTGTAAAGAGCTGTTCAACTAACCCTCGCCACAAGTGTTCTCCATCACGTTCAAGTTGCCCAACGCGTTAGTCACTTCACCCATGTATTCTTCCGGCGTTTCCTCCACCAACGAGCTGTCCATCCTTTCCGGTTTCTTGCTGTCCAACAAATTTCGATATTCCAGGTCCGGCGTCTCGTCCACGCTGATGGATTTGACAGAGATCGAGTCCTCGGACGTGAGATTGGTCGTGGACACAGCTTGGGAACCGTAACCACTGCTGCTCATGCTTGGCGTGTTGATCTTCGTCGATTGAAGTTCGACGAGAGAATCCAGTGTGCGTGAAGAAGTTAGCGGTTTTACTGGTTTCACCGGTGCCTGAACGTAATCGCGTGTGATTTGATTGTGACAATGACGAGAACCGCGAGAACTTAAGAATTTTTCTTTTCTTATTTCTCGATTCTGATCGACGAGAAGTATGATAATTTATATGTTTGATCACGCGTTTTCATTTATTGTTTTTTTTTTTTTTCGTGTTTAGTTTTCATCCAACAGCATGTTAGATTAATATATATTGCACGATATATATTAAAATTTTTTTTATTTAACATTTATGAGATTGAAATCATTGAAAATTCGTAGGAATTGTTCATATTCATGATGAAAAATGAATGTAATAATCGTACATGTACACGTAGATATACATACGATTCGAATAACGTTATATAAAGTCAAATGTAAATATTTTCGAGTCTTAAGAACGTGTACTACCTGATACGAATCGTATTCGGAGTAATCAGCGTCGCTCTTCTCTTCGTCCTCGTCATGAACAGGTGTCGTCACTTGATTCCCAGCGTTCGACGTTTCCTCGTGCAGGGTGGTCATTCGTAGACCCAATTTGCCACTCACCATATTTGGAGACGCTAAAAGCGAACATTATAGATTATCAATAAATGTCGTTTTAAAGAAAGATTTAAAGTCTCTCGCGTGAAAAAATTGTGACAATATTGCAAGAATATCAGGGCCGATCTGGCCACCATGATGAAAATCGACGGATCGGGAATCGATAGATCCATGATCGATCACGATTATTCTCTCTCTTTCTCTCTCTCTTTCTTGGGTAACAACATACATTCCATTTAATCGGGTTTATGATCACACTAAAAGGTGCCAGGTCGGTTCTGATACACATATATCGGTGATTGCAAAAATATCGAACAAAAGGATTGTGTCCATGCTGTTCCTAAAAAAACGAAAAGGGTAATTGTACGTATATTCCACGTATTGGACGATTCCTTTGTCAAATTTTTAATTTACATTAATTAACCTCTAAATGAATAAAGTTCAAAGATCCCTCCGTTCGAATTATTTAGAGAAGCGCAAGATGATCTCGAAATGGCAAGAAAAGACTAGATAGAATTGAGTATGTGTGTATGTACATAATTTCATATTGTTCGGGATTTGGTTTCGGATTCACAAAAGTGAACGATAATCTTCGAATAGATTCGAATAATTGGCGACGCGATCGGCTAAAACTATGGCAAGTATTCGAAATTATTATCTTTGTGCTTATATTCCAAAAATTCGAATTTCGAAAATAATAGCGCTGAGATCTTGGGATCTCTATGTATCATCTATCATGTAACGAAAGATGTATATTCGATTCTATGAAATAATTATGAATTTCAAATTTAGAGCCCAATCGATTATTTTCGATCAACAAATTGGCAAATTCTTTCATTGAGATTCTCAGCTAGTTGATTGATTCGGAAGTTTTTTCCGTCTGATAAATTAATCGGATAATTTTTGTTCGTTCGATGGATTTTGATATCCTTAAATTATTTATTATCCTGTTGTGTATTTCTACGTGTCACAATGAGTATATATGGGTAAAATTTTTTAATCGAAGTAAATGTTCGAATGAGATACTAAAGATCCAAAAGATTCAAGCACATAATACGTGGAATATAAGGCAGCCTGAAATAAAGGTGAAACAGAAGTAGAAAAAAAGGTACCGTAATGTAAGTCGTAATAAGCAATAAAACATCGAACACATATGGGAAACTATGCACTGCGGCACGATAAGGCTGCAGTTTCAATAAGGACATTAACTACGGAGAAAAAAGATATCGAACGAAAAACGGATGGGTTTTATCGATATCTATTACCGTTGTGCTACGTAATAATCGAAATAAGGTGTAAGGAAACCAAATAGTCTACTAATCACTACTAGAGAATGATCGAATAGACTCTTTCAAACTTGCCAGAATTCGATTAGATTTCTGGAAAAACTTAATTCTTTCTCCATCGAGATAATTTTTCAAGTAATTCTTTTTTTAGCAATGTACGATATGAAAATACAAAAATTTTACTATATCTATAATTAATAGCAACAAGATGTTTAATATAAAATATTTGGAGAAAGAGTATTATAAATTAATTTTCAAATTCAATAAAGAAGAATTGTATTTGTAAATATAATTTACAATTCTTTTTTATATTTTTATAAAATTTTTATAAAATTAGAGAAAATACATCGTCAATGATGAAATAAAATTGACCGAACATTATTAATTGTTGAGGTTGTATCAATCAATCGGAGGGTAGAGTATCTTTTCGTGGCAAATCAGTTTGAAAGAGTTGTCAACAGCGAGTGTCACCTACACTTGGCAGAGGTGGATTGTTGCAGACGTGTCAATGAGTTGAGATTCAGGTTCAGATTCAGGAAAGTTGGTCTCGCTGAAAGGAGATAGACGTACTGATTACACCTGCAATCGTGTTCTCCTCGATCATCGCTAAAAACTACATTCTGTTCTCCTCTTAATGGCGAGCCTTCTTAAAACCTTTCTTTTTTTCTCTTTGCAGGCTTGTCACGTGTGATTGATCATGCCTGCTAGAAGACACTCAATATTATCAATCAAGCCAGATCAGAATGTAAGTCTCTGTGTCAGACTCGAAGATTCAGAGACCATTCGTGTTGTACATACAGGTAATTTTAATACTTGGAGGAGAATTGTAAGAAATAGAGACATTACGTAGATATACTTTTCCTCTTTTCAATATATATCATCTATGAAACGATTCAACTCGCCATTTTAAAACAATCCAAAATGCAAAAAAATAATATATATACGTTAATTGAAACTAGAATAATTCTTTAGAAATATTTTTTTCTTATTTTTAAACAATTCGCATCGTGGATTTGTTATAAAGTATATTAACAATATATGTATTAGTTTAAAGTCAAAATAATGATAGTGATAGTCACAGTGTTCTCAATAAAATTATCTTCATTTTACTGTACAGTCGATAGCATTATAGATAGACTCTATTCTTTTATAAAGCATGCTTCACTATGTCTGAAACAATAATCTCATGCATCGCTAAATTACTTTTAATTTTTCCCTCTACACTATTCTGAAATTGTTTAGTTTGTATTGCTCTGAACTTTTGTTTGACTTTAAACTAATTCTTTCTGTGGAGAAAGAAAATGGGATTTTTTAAATTCTTAATTTTTTCTTTCAAAATATATTTATCAAATATTATATTCCACACAAGTTTAACCTATTTCTTTAAATATATTTCAAACTTTCCCATTTTCTTTTTTACCCATAATGCCATAAGCTTTTTTCTTTCCTCTTCTCTAAGTGAAAAACAATTTAGTCTCTTTATGGATTAACTTACATTTCGATTTATTCGTGTAAATATTTCTTTTGTATAAATAAAATGATCCCAAATTGTTTTTCAGTGGCGTATATATCCTAAATTATTAATCAATAAATATTTATATATATTTACACATATATGATACAGTTACCCTACGTCAGTTTTCTAAAATATCGCTTAATAGCACATTCACAGGTAGAGACAGTAAAAGTAGAACAATTTCACAAGCGATCTTATTCATCTTTCTCTTTTTACATTTTTTTTTTTTCATTCTCTTCATACTCTTCAACTAATTATAAATATATTTGAATCGTGGTAAAAAATATATATTATTTAAATAAGCTTAAGTTGCTTCACTCTTTAAATTCAGTCTTACGAATTGGTAAGTAAATTTTACCAATTTTCGAGAATTCGTCGAACTTGATAATTTTTCAACGAATAATCGAAATGAAAAAAAAAAAAAATAAAAAATAAAAAATAAAAAATAAATATAAATAAATATTTATATATATATTATGTATATATAAAAAAGAACTAGATAGATAATCGTTTCTATTCTAGTGAAATAAGTTTTGCAAAATAATTATATCTCAATACCCATGCTTTCGATTGTATAGTCATGATATACAGTGCTAGTGAACATGATTTCTACGCAGTGGTGATCTTTGATAGAAACTGCGATAGCCGCGAAGAGAGAAGATCGTTCTTTCATCTTGCTTTTGCAATGCGTTGACGTGATTTTCTTGTAAGCGTCGATCATGAGCAGAAAAATCATTGTGTGAACGTGTGAGCCAGAGACAGAGAAGAGACAATGAACGAACAGAGAACGAACTGCTTGCACGTAAAAGGGCACATTCGCATGCAACAGTAAAACGATGAAGCTAAAACAACATATTGCAATTCATTGCAAAGAAACGGTATAGGCATTAACTATTTTCAAAACCTAAAGTGTTGATGGTTCGAAATAAAAAGAATATAATAAAGCAGCGTTTTTTTTTTTTTTTTTTTGAATTTTCGAATATGAGGATAAAAAGCTTAATAAAAAGATAAAGCTTTGTGATCCATCATTAACCACGCTAGAAAATCACTGTAAATCTTTAAACCTCGTTCAAGATTCAAGTTACTTCGATTGAAGACGCTTGAATTGAAAATATTAAATTCATGATTATATAAGTAATAATTGAAATTTGTAGGGATATTTCAATATTGAATTAGAAAAAAACGTTTCAATCATTTGATAGATTTTATTAATAAGAATAAGCATAAAAATTTTGTGAGAAGAAAAGGAATTAGGGATTGATGACACGAATAAGAAGTTCAAACCGACGAAGATGAGATTTAAAGTTAACTAATAAATTAATCAAACGTTCCACTATTCTTCTTCTATCAAGATAATCTCTTCCAGTTCTGAAAATAGCTACAGTTCGCAAAAATGAATAACCATCGACACACAATATATACAAATATATATATATATATATGTACATATTTAAGGCTTACTGGAAAACTAAAACAACAGACAGACTCAACCACTCACGAGACATATGTATATACTAATCGTCGTTGCCTGTTAGGGCATCAATCAAATATCAATCAAGACTCCATTTTACCTGAGTTGAGAATGGAGCCTTGCGTGGGCCGAAATAGTTGTAGAAGTAGTAGACGTAGTGTTATAAACAGAGGAACAGAGAGATAAGTTGCGTATATTAATATAACTCGTTTAATTGATCGTTCAATTTTGCTAAAAAAAATTCGCTAATTATATCATAAGGCATTTAAAAAGAAATTCTTGTGACAAAAGTGGTGGAGCTTAAGTGTAGCTGCTAATAATAAACGCTAGGCAGATCTGAGAAAAAAAAATGGATTGTTTTTCTTTTCTTCTTTCTTTCTTTCTTTTACCATGCTCAACTCTCTTTTCAATCGTGATCTTTGTTGAATCACGTTTCGAATGAGATTCTATATATAACTAGAAAAATCGCGTTAATGAAAGAATCGTGCGTAAAAGTTGAACATAGCGTGGTGACATAACAGTATGATAGAAGCTGTAAATAGAATAAATACGAAGTTCCAAGTGTGTAGTGGTAATTTGCTAAGAGGGAGATCGGTATTACCAAACATCTTTAAGGAGAGTGATCAAACGTTTGACGGTGTTTGTTCTAAGTGAATGAGCGATTTCCTTCCATGGTGTTTTTTTCTTTGGTTTGAAGAAGTTAAAACAATTATCGTTTTTTTTTCTTTTTTCAAATTATTTATTTTTAATCCTTTCGCGTGTTGCCAGGAAGCTTTAGAAAAAATTCTAGCAATCTGAAGCTTCTATCTTGGATCATAAAATTTTTTTGTGATGCTACTTCGAAATTTCTAGGGTAATAAATTTTTGGATTTATCTCGAATCGAGTTAAAAGAACTGACAAATAATTGGAAAATTTTACAATAATTATCAATATATCGAATATATTGAAAGAGAATTTAAAAAAGAATTGCGATTCTTGATTGATAATTCTAATAATTGAATAAAAGACACGATGGAAGGGAATGCTAACGATGGATGACATGAATTTCAATAATAAAAAAGAACAAAAAAGGAAACGGATGTAATGATTATCTTCCATTATCGAGAAACAACATATCCAATACCAAAGGAAGACATAACAGTGGAATTTTAAAACAGTCAAAAACTAGGGCAAATCTTAAAGTGACTATCATGGCAAGGTGATATATATATATATGTATATATATGTATATATATGTATATATAATATTAAAAAACACTGCATAAGCCACATTTCATAAATGAATGAATAGACTTTTCGTCGAATATAAGTTCAAGAAAGCGAAAAAATCAAGGCAACCAGAAGTGATCGAAAAAACGTAAGTAAGTCGATGTATATATATATATTTATTCTAAGACTAAGGTCTTCAAAACACAGTGCCATTAAAATTTATCAAAGCGTTTAAATATTATCGATAATTCAATTGTGATTTAAGCAAACTAAGATGTTGCATTCATTAAATGATGAAATTCGCATAAGATTATAAATCCAAGTAAGTTTCAATCAAAAAATAAGATAAAATAAGAAGAAAAAAGAAGAAGAAAAAAAAAGGAAAAAGAAAAAGAAAGAAAGGAAAAACGTTAAAAATAAAATTCGATAAAATTTTATGTAAGTAGCAATCCATTTAGCATAAATAATTCTGCGTTCAGTGTAGCAAGCTCTGTATCAAAGAGCAGCGTAATAACGAAACAAAACAAGATTTGATTTGCTAAATTTGCTACGCCTTCATCAACATCATGGCAAAAACGCTTGCGGAGCAAAAGAACTCTCTTGCAAGAAATTTTGGAATTACCTTTTTGTTGGCGTGCTTATGGTAGTACCGTTGGATATTGTTAACAGTTATTATGAACAATAGTAACGTGTTAATTCAATCGTTGATTAATCAAGATATTAAAAGTGATATGCGATATCAGTCGTATTATAATAAAATGGATTACTACAAAATGAACGGTGAACTAATGAATGAGAAGATGAATTGTATGAGTGAATATATTTTGTGTGAACAATAAGAAAAAGAATCCTTCAGTTTATTATTATTTATCTTATCAACCGAGTTCATCAATTATTATTATTTTCTTTCTTACGCGTACATCTTCTATGATTTCATAAATTATATTATTCAAAATTTAATTATTTATTCGATACGTTCAAAGAACAAAGATACGTAATAATCGTACACATTGATATTAATTCCAGTTGTTATTTTATATAGGATGTACAATTAAGAAATCATAGAACGTTTATGATTTTTTTTTTATTATTATTGAAAATGTTTCACTGGAAAAATGTAGTAGGTGTGATGCGAATATTTGCTTACCGATTCCGAATGGTTTAGAAACTGGTGCAGAAACGAAGTTCTCATCGTTTCTGGTGTGACCCGTGGATGCACGACGCGAATGAAGTATTCCATTCAACTCGGTGTTGAGATCAGTCACGCTTTCAGAACGTGTCACGTTTAGAGAGTCCATCGAGGTGTCGGATCTCATGATCTGTAAATAGCCGGTGTATCGTGTTACTCGCCTATAATATCTTAAAACAGATATTATATGACGTAATCATAGTTTGTCTAGAATTATTAGAATACGAGATATAACAGTACAAATTGTCCATCTTGTAAATTTTAATCCTTTCCTTGAAGATTTACTTTACGATATCTCGTGCGAGATCAAATGATTCTAGACAAGCTAAAAAGAATTGGCAAAAATCCAAAGAACGTTAAATGCAAATCAAAATTTCTAAAATTCTACTGATTCGAAATGGACGAAAGAAATATTTGAATTCGAAATACCAAGATATAAAAAATGAAAAAAGAAGAAAACAAATTAAACGAAAAGCATACAGTGCGTCCGAGACGGCGTAGAGGCAGTAGTACCTGCGAGAAGTTGGGTACGCTTGCTGTCTTGCGCATAAGTGGTTGACCTTGTGCTTGCAGTAATTCTTTTACCGCGACACTTTGTCGTAACCGGTCTAAAGTTAAGATACTTTCCACCGCAGAAACACCGCGTGTATATTTTTCTAAGCAAACATCAGACAGTGTGAGTTTCGATTATGCTTTTGTCCAAGTTGATCTTCAATTTATAAATATCCTGCGAAATGATTGTTAAATTTACCAATGTAAGTTTCACCGTCGCATAGGCTGTTGTCTTCGCCGCTTGCGGCTATCTGCGCCAAACTCTCTCGGTCCTCCAACTCTTCGCTAGCCTTTGGTATGTTAGACACGACCTCGTAAGTGACTCCAGTTTGGGTCAAACAATCGGTACGGACGATCCTTTTGAAAATTCTGTCTGTGATACTTTGTCGTTTGTAGATGTTCAAGGCCAATCTTTTGCGCAGCACGAGATCCATTGGCGCTGGATGGGAGAGTCGTATCGTTGTCTTCAAAATTAAAAATACCCGTTCGTTCGCTGAAATACGAGAAAATGTCATATTATTGTTATAATATAGTTTGGAATATAGTGATTTTTTTTTTTAATATTTTTAACTGTTATCACGCTATTAATAATTTAACTTTACCGTCTGTGACTTTGTTGAGATGTTTGTTATCGTGTATACTAGAGTCCCAAGCAGCGATGGCGCACACATCCTTCTCTATGTGACGAATTATAGGCAAATTGTAAAACTTATTGCCATGTTCTTTGGGTAATATAGAATTCACTCCAGTGACGGAGACTTCTTCCCCTGACTGATGCGTTGAGAGATCATCGGCTGTAAATATGTAGAATTACAGTAATCAGAAATCATGAAATATTATATATTACTGGTTGTGTGAATAAAATAAAATTGTACACACCGTTGAGATCAAGAAACAAAACAGGAATGTGTGGTTCCATGCCTGCAGGAGGATTCCAATCAGCAGGGGCACCAGGGATTCCTGATCCTGCTGCAGGAACTAACACTGCATTTCTTTCTTCCGTTAAACTGACCCATTGATCTACCAGACTTTGTTCTCGTTCTATATCTTGTTCAGTTTTATCTGCATAACAGAAATCATACATTGTTTAATTGATGATTCAATTGGATTTGAATTAGTAACACAAGTTTCTATCATACCCTGTTTATTAATAAGTTTTTGTATCTGTTGATCCAAGTATTGTCTCCTTCTCATCAAGGCTTCACTCCATTTTTCCCTTAGTATACTCAAGTCTTCATCCTGATAACTGTCCAATGGAATTTGAAGACGATTCCTCACAGACACGCTACCAACTGCTATATTCAATATCGATTGACAAATAATGGGCAATGTCCCTGAATTTTGTACTGGTTTTACACGAACTTGTATTCGTCGTTGTTGCCCCTGACGTAATTGATAAATACCCCCTACAAACAAATATAAATTGTATCAAATTTAAACGTAGAGAAGAACAAGCATACCTGTCCACGTATCTTGCTTTACAACTACGTCCACTGGCGAATATTCTCCTTGCTCGTTCAACTCTTGAATTTCAACCCATAATTCGATCTTCCTCGTTAATTCCGACCATCGATCAGCCAGAGATCTAGCTTTGGCAAGTTGTTGCTCGACTTCCCAACCTGGTTTGCTTCGGGAAAATCCGGCACTTCGGTGTCCCCAAACTTCTATGCTTAAGGCCCCTTCTGCGAATGAGAATAAAAAAAAATATTTACACTTCAACTTTTTCCATTCGTAGCATCAGATCCATGAATTAAATTTTCGAGAAGCGAGAATCAAAAAAAGACTTACATCAGATAAATTTTATGAAATAATTAATTAATAGAAAGCATACTGGATAATTGATATTAAATTACCTCGTCTCAAATACTTTGATACTCGAAGCTCTCTCACACGCACACGTGATAAATATAATCTGTTATTGCAATAAATATTCGCGATAACTCACCTGCACAGTGTTCGATAAACTCCTCCGTAATAGGCACGGTAAAATCATTCGTGTGATCGAACTTGAACACCAGAGAGTCTCTTTGCCCTATCTGGCAGTTCGAGTTCAATTGTTCCGAGTTGTCCACGGCTGGGACCACTATGGGATCCGGATAGCCGCAGAACATGTACTGACAAAATACAAAATGGCTCAGGGAGAGCGGTAAGCCCGTTGCTTGCTTGATAGTCACGCGACACGTGATGTGACTGGAGCCGGAATAATCCTCAGGCTCTGACGAGGTCGAGTCGGCCGACGATTCCGACGCCGCCTCGCAGATACGATCCTGAGGGAAGTGACCAGATATGCGACTAATCTCGACCTGCAGTCGTCCAGCGACTTCTCCTTGTTGGCTGATAATTGGCGTGTGATAATCTAATCGAACGTCGTGAAACAAAACCTCTAAGAAAATATTCGCTACTCCAATGAGGTTGTGATTCTCCTGGGATTCGTAGAAAGGATCTTGAGTTTTTCCGGGCACTTCATCCTGTTTAAAAAGTTTTTCAAATTGATCAATTTTCAAGTTCAGTTGGAAAAATTTGAAAGTTTTAGTTTTTTCCTTTTTTTTTTTTTATAAAAGTTAATTTGAAACCGAGGGAGGCTTTGTCGCTTAAGAATTTTTTGAATTCGTTAGAATTCCTACCTTAATGGCAGGCAATCGTTGACAGTTGTTGGGATCCTTTCTGTCTTCGTACATATCCCGCATGTCGACTAATTTGTTCTCTAACTTCTCCATGGACCACACTTGGCTACCCATATTTGTCCTTTTCACCAGAATCGCAGGCTCGCTCACGAATGCGCCCCGCTGAAAAAATACACTCTACATGTCGAAGAGTGTGAAAGCAGAATAAAATAAAACAAAACGAACATAAACAATAATGGAAAATCAATAAGATAAAAAAAGCACGGTGAGAAGTTGTAAAATCAAACATCACAAACAAGATCAATCACAAATTAAAAGAACAAAAATAAATGTATAACATATATTCAAAATACAAAATGAAATCAATTAATAAAAATATTAATAAAAATTAATAAAATTAAGTAAAATTTATAAAGCAGTTCGTTCTTTCGATTCTTTAAAGTATTGTCTTCAATATATATATATATATATAAAAGAACAATATTAATTCAGTTATATGATACATCAATGTCTATAAATAAAATTTGCTGTCTTATAAGAGAATGGGAAAGATAATACATACATTTATATGTGAACATCTTTTACATGATTTAAAATAAATTAATCTAAAGTAAGCTTATTATTTATGTCAACAAGTGTTACCTTTCTGTTTGGACTTAAATTGTTGGGCGGAATTTGTAGAGTGACACTAAACTTCGTTTGTTTCCCCATCTCTTCTGCCAAGAAGTTAGCTTCCTGTACCAAAGCGTTCGCCTTCAAAATGTCGGCTTTCAATTGGCCTAAACTTCTCTTGAACATCTCGTCCCTTTCTTGAGCCCACTTCTCCACCCGCATTTGCGTAGTTGGTGTGCAAGCAGGAAGTTTACCACTTTGACTGCCCCTTAGGGGGTCGTATGGTACGTAAGGAGAATAAGGTGTCGATGGAGACAAAATGTTGCGAAGCTGCTGGAATTGACGTTCGTATTCTTGTCTCTGTTTCTCCAATGCGACCTAAAGATAGAAAGAAATCCTCACGTTTAACTTGATAAAACTTGACAAACAAGATGCCTAAGATTTATATGTATCTGAATTTTTGGTAACTTGTGATAAGAAGAAACTTATCAGTTAAAACTTATCAGTTAGAATTCTTAAGAATTCAATCTTGTTATCATTAAGAGCATAAAGATTTGTAAGAAATGTAGAAATTTCTGGAAAATAAGACATAATATTTATGATAAAATTGTTACCATTTATCAATCAAATAATGCATTTTAATATTATTTTATAATATTCAATTCTATAATCATTTTTTGCAGGTCTTTACATTGATGTAAATTCTTAAAATAATCAATTTCTTTATCTTTAATATCAACAATATCTCTTCATCAAAGTTTATAGAACCAATCTCTCTTCTCTTAAACACCAGCAACATCTTTATAAATTCTCATCAAACATCATTTGTCCCCAAGCATACCTGTTTATCTTCCTCATGCTGCTTCTCGAGTCTGGCGATGGCTCTTTGT